TGGTTTCGTGACCACGTCGTTGGTCACGCGACAGAGGAACCGCAAGGATCGTCGTTGAAAAATGAGTTTATTTAACAGCAAAAAATTACACTGTCTCGTGCGAAGCGTCGTCGGCGTGGGATTCGGGCGAAACGATCGTGCAAGAAAATCTGATCTGTTATGCGGGAGAAAAAATTTGAAATGTACACTCCCATTCGTAAGTATTAGAACACTTATCGAATGTGCAGTAAATGATAGAGGGTATTACGAAATTACCGAAGGTCTGTAATAAATATGGTTTAGGGGATATTAAGGCTCGATAGAAAACGTTTATGATATTTTGAACTAATTGAAGTAGCCTAAAATATATAGTTTATATGAAACATATTTTATATGAACGGTAGTATGTATACGAGGCTGAGAATGAATCGGTGGATGGAGATGCAAGGACGAAGGGGTAGGAATAGATATCCTTGTGGGAATATCTACGCGTTCCGCTGGAACCAGTTCATCGACATTAATAGTACGCTAAGAGATGTTGTCGCGAAGGTTACCATTCCCTTTCATAATTTCATATTCAGTACTGAGGTAGAATCGTGGCTCCTCCAGGTGCTTTCTGCGGACGGAGTCACGTGAATCACAAACAGGTGGCCATGGGAAAAATTGATAGGCTCTTTAGCTACACAGCGTTTCCAGGAAATCCTCGCTTTGGCTTTCCTAGTCCAGATATTCAAAGCGTGTCTGACAATAAATGTCGCGATTACGTTCATTCAGTTGCATCTAATTTGTTTTATTCGTTGTATTACGAATAAGTTGTAGGTTCGTTCATTTTCTATCGAGTGGCTTTACCATCGTGCAAGCCCAAAATTTGCGACTTATAGGGACTTGTAAAAGTCTGTGCGTGTATAAGAGTCTGTAAGAAATGTTTGTATCAACAATTACGTTACACAATTGCCAGGTGGGTTTTTGTACTTTCTAAACAGGTACTGTTAAAGATAGTATCTCGAGATTAACGAGATCGTTTTATGCCTAATGGAAATCTTGTCAGACCAAATTTATATGGTAACCCAATTTTTACTATTTCTTCGTTATGGCACCAAACTGCTGTACCATGCTGTATTGCAATACTAAAAAGTTTGTACTAGATAAACGAATATTTATTAACAAAGTATTAATCTGCAGGAAAAAGAAACGTATAGAAGCTACTAGAACGAAACATAACGTCGAGTCGATTTTTTCTCAGAACCACGAAGGATGGATGCAATGAATAAGTAAAGATTTTTTCAATTTATCCTCCGGTAACTTCCACTTTAAGAAACGACGGGACTTCCCTCCTTTGATGTACAGCGACATTCTTTATGCAAATGAAGAAGTCCTTGCGAGTCTCTGAGTAACTCTTTGCGAGCGTCGGCACGCCTTCGAGATGGTAGGGAGGGGAGAAAAAAATCAATCTCCGAGCGTTCCAGGGGTGCACGCATCGTGTGTTTATATCCAAGATACGCGATTGTTATTCGTGCCGTTCGGTCCCGTAACGATCCACAAGCGCGAAGTCGTATAATTAGAGAATTACTGTCCGAGTGTCGGGACGCAAGTGAAGCGAGTAAACGTGGAAAAAGAAAACGAGCCCGCCAGGGGGGATCCCACCGAGCATTCCTATGCAATTATAGTTTCCTTTTATCGCGTCGATCATGCACCTGGGATCGACGGATCCGGTTTTACACCGACTCCGCGAATCTGTGACGCGTGTTCATTAGGCGGCCCCCGTTGAAAGTGGCCGCATGGAGATCTATATGTATAATAATTCCGTAGCCTTGATCGGCTCGCTCGTGGATTGAGTATCGCGACGTGAGAACCATGATTCGATTACCACGGCACCACAACGAAAAACTGAACGGGTTACGTTTGTTTTCGCTCTAGTGCCGCTATTAACCCTTTGACGGTTTAGTCCATACGTCGTACGGGCAACCTGACATATGACAGACTATTTAGTTCGTATGTCGTACGGATCGAGTTAAGACTGGATGCTCTGCAAGTTTTGAAACATATTCTTCTGGAAACGAATTCATTCTTAATCCTCACAAGGGAAGGGAACCCGAACTGTCCGACTTTGATTTTAACGGGGCTTTGTAAAATTATAGTGCACAGGTTCTTAACACGTTGACTGCCAGCTACGAGATAACTCGTAGTTGAAACATTGCAAACATGCTGGATTATTTAAATACACAATTCAAAGATTTATGACTTAAAAAACGGAATAACGTGTGTCTGGCTACGTACTGCCGTTTCCACTGTGGCAGTCAATGTGTTAATGATATACAGGGTACTGCCGAATAACATGTACATGCGGGTACGAGGTGATTCCTTATGAAAAAAATAAGAACAAAATATAGAATAAAATTTTTTCATTCAAGGCTTAGATTTCGAGAAAATCGACTTTAGGACTGGGCTAGCGCGTCTGATCACTGCATTCCGTTTCTACTTACTACCATGATGAATACACGTGTTTCAGATTAATTTTTGAACTTCCGTGTACTGTGCTCGCGTACTCGGTACGTCTTTGACCGTCAAACGAATCGAAAGTGCAGTTTTATTTCTTCAGAATATTACATTTACCAGATATATTTCTATATTACTCAAAACAGTTACACGCACTAAGTCATACAAAGGTGTTGCGCGACACGTCCAGCGGAATCGTTCCGAGCGTCGAGATCCCTCGCGGGGGTGGGGAGAAAAAAAAGAAGGAATGATTCCGTCCGTGAATACGAACGGTTTGCCGAGTTCGTCGCGAGTGAACTGGTGCGTGTAACTGCAACTTCGATGTCCCGCTACGCGTTATGGGAAACCGGCGCGCGTTTTCGCCACGCGATATTCAAAATATCCGTCGCAAATTCCTGCGGCGCGCGAAGCCACGTTGGTACGCGGCGGTAACTGTAGTGGAATTATGGGACGGCATGGTTGATACTGTTAATGGGAAATTGAGGTTTCTGGTAAAAAAAAAAACCGTGGTAACGTCGAGGCACCGACTGCCTAATTGCGCTCGGTAAACTTTTAGTATCGCAGGTTCGCCCTGAATAAGTGGTACGATCTGGAAATGTTGTTTCTGAAAGTAGGATAAAGAATATAATGTGTTACGAACTCTGTTAAAAAAAGTATTTAGATGTGACACACGTTTATTCGGAAGTCTGACAAAACTGGTTTACTTCTTCGAATTGAATAGGTCTAATACATTCGGTATTAACGATCTATCAAGTGTAGATAATTCATTCGACGATGTTTGTCAGAATCAAATAAGATCATACCAGAGATTTCAAGAATTCTAAGGACTCGCGAAGACCCCTCACGATTGTTACGTCTCAAGTGATCCAGGATTCTCAATAGGTTTCTAGGATACCAGCCATCCGAGGCTATCTTCGAGACACTAGTGGTCTCTGGGGGGTTCACGACCGCTACAGAGTTTACAAGTTATCCAGGAATAGCTATCAGTGGCCTCAGGATGCTCTCAGTCTTAACTTCGTTAAATGCCACGTGAGTTATAGATCAATGTTTCGGTTATGAATACGTGTTCTGAACTAATCACTAGAATGATTACACCAGAACTGTAATTTACAAAAGCTGAAATTCAAAGAGAAATTGCTCTTCTCTATTTGCGGTTCTATCAAAGCTTTTATCTACATTGAATTTCAGTGAATTTCGTCCGGGCCAATTATAAACGCCCAATAACGACTAGTTTTATGCAACGTTCAGCACCTGTCTGTTCAACGTGAATCTCCTCCGATTTCAATTATGCAATCCGGCAGTTCTCTGTAGGCGCGCCCGCGCGAGCGCGTTCTTCGTATACATATATCGGTCCCGTTTCTGATTCCGCGTGTATCGTGGGGCTGCTGGTGTCAATTATCTTGTAACACCCACGCCTCGCACGGTATATGCCTCCGTGAAGTCCATTACCTTCGCTCGATCGTATATCGTGAATGCAGTATGTAAATAGAGTAGGTACACACAATTACAGGCAAGGCCTGTGGAACGTATCGCGTAATCGGTTAGTGTTTACGGGTTAATGAAATGGATTTAGCGATACAATGGACCGCCCGCGCCGCTGCGAATATATCCTCAGAGGCCTCGACCGGTTCGGGGGCGAGCGCATGCAAATGTAAACGAGGATCGAAGTTTGAATGGCGCGCGACGCGTAACCGACGCAGCCTTTAAGGAGAGCTATCGTTCATTAAGGGCTGTTTAATCATTCCGCGGAGTGTGATTATCGGCTCATTATCCGCCAACGGAGTTTCCCCTCCGGGTATTTAATTGTGAATCGCATTCATACTCGGCTGATTCGAATCTGTAAGAACTGGATAATCTCGAATACATCGAGGGTGCAGTTTGTAAGGGAAACGATAGCTACCATTAGTGTCCCTCGAGTTTGAGGTCTTCTGTTTTTCAGAAAACAATATTTATTTCGTATATTCTGTTATAACAGACGAAGTTTGGTTGAAATGTTTCGTGAATTAAATGGAAACAAATAGTTACACGAATGTAAAGAATTGTCCATCTGTCAACACGTAAATCTCGATAAAATTAGGTCGATGGAGGGTCACTCAAAGTCACATGTACCAAAAGCTTTGCAATGGTTGTGTTCGACAGTTCTAGGAATATCGGAAAAATCGAGTACCAAAATCAAAGGTACACGGCAACTCCATTGGTCACATAATTTCCTGTGGCTGTCGAAGCCAACAAAATGACGCTTTCGCCGCGTTTCGTGGTAACGCGAGTTCCTGGAAAGTTGCGGATTTCAGTCGACGGTCGCTGTAAGCCGGTTTCCAATTACAAACGTTCCCTAATGGAAGCTCGTAATCAAGCCGAAATTTTCATCGAACGCCTGCGCTTCGTGGACCGTAGTGGAAAATTTCAATGTCCAGGCAACGAGGAACCGCAGCGTTCCTCGCCACAACCGTGCACAATGTGTCCTTGTGCATGGTCACGATTTTTAATGAG